TGGTTTTTTGAATGCTGGCATTCGACACAAAGCAACTTAACACTGGTCTCCGCAGTATACTTTTGCCGTCAGTCATTTCATTGCTTGTCGTTTTCGCCAGTAAAACACTACTGATACAAAAACATACTTTGCTCAGCTTACAAAATATAATAAAAAGTTCGGCATTTGTTTGTTCAATTGTGAACTTGTCGGAAAATATTAAATAAATCAAAGAAGAAGGAAACAGCATCATACTTTTGAGGAATATATAAGCGCATAAGTAAAAATATTTCAATTCGGCTTTTGACTGGCCTTTTTATTTCTTATGGCCACAGATCTTAAATGTGCACAAAATTTTTGTATGGAATTTTATTATAATAATAGTGAATGGAAAAAAAAAAAAAAATATTTGTCTTCTTTTAGCGCGATGGCCGTGATTTTAAAATCGGTTCGACGGAAAAAATCGACGCCTATGGTGTCTATGGCGGAGGCTCCAGTTCAAGTTTGCTGCCACTTTACTCTAGGGAAACAGCGCCTACAAMACAATGTTCGATGACAGGTGAAGGAGGTAATAAGAAGGATAGAAAAAACAATAAAAATAACAATGTTCTTGTAATCAACGGTTGCTGCATATTCTTACGTACCCCTCTAAACTAAAATATAATATATTGAAACTACCGGCTACGTCATTCAGTCGCTCAATGTGCCAAAACGGCATCGCTTACGATAGTATTAAGACAATAAAATAAATAAACAGACAAACAAATTTAAATGTGTCACAATATTGGGATTATGTACTTCTGTTGGATCTCATAGGGGGGCATAAATTGACGTGACACCGTTGTAGTAGATGCTGTTAACAGAAAAGTTGGAAAACAGACTACTAGCGGCTTGCTGGATTTGTTGGCATTTGGAGTTTCACCTATTTTTAGCAACCTTTTGTGGTTTACAAAGCTAGTGCAAATGTGGGAGTATACGTACTAAGCTAACTCCCCTAGGCAGTGCATTGCTTATCAACACATTTGGACGTCTCGAATTTCTCTCCAATGTGACATGCTCAATCTTTTCACTAGAATTTGGCAGTACACAACTTGACTTGTGCCAATTCAATCCTCAGACATTGTGTCGGTTTGTTTTGAATAAATGATAAATCGCTGTGATTTTTCAAGTACGCATTCGATCTATTTTATCTTTGTTACAAGCTTCGCATTCTCTTGTGAATGGAGTGCGCCATATAGACGATTCGCTGAGTATTTACACGCCACGCTTATGTTAAGACTGCCGCTCAGTGTGATGTATGGGAAAATGGCTATTCAAATATTGGAAGTTGTGACTTATCACGTAATTTTATTTTGACTATACACCATATCTGCGATCTAATCGAGTGGAAGTGACTGTGTTCGTGTTTTGAGTATGTTTCTTTTATGAAAAAATATTTTATATAATATTTTCAAAATGCAAATCAGGATATTTAAACCAACGTGGTCTCGTTAGGAATTTCGGTGCTGACTTTAGAACCTATTTGGTATTATCTCAGAGAAAATGCAATCTTCATTCAGAAAGAGCAAAGAATTCCAAAAATTATAAATCTTTTCGAGACCTWATAATATTTTATAACAGTTAAATGCTCTTCAGCAACTTGGAATTTAATTGTGRCCTTAGTTTTTATATTTAGACATACGCTCTCTTTAACAAGGCTTATTTGGATGTACAATATAAGACATTTTATATTAGCTCAATTTACGAAAACTTTTTTAAATAAAAAGAGTAACAGAAACCAGATTACACTCTAGTTTCCGATACCAAATTTTATTCGGCGAAACATGTGCCGAAACATTTTCTAACAGCTTCCGAACCATTCAGTGGAATGGAATAGGAACAAATAGTAGTAAATCCATAAAGAACGGCTAATTTTGAGTATAACCGGATACCCTTGCAACTTGTCAGGATCAAACGCAAAGAAAAATCTCCAGATACGTAATTCTTCTTACAATAATGAAAGTGATTATAATACATGGGAGTCTGGATAATTCATGGAACAATTTCGCTTTGGACAATAGTATATTTAATAAAATACGTTCAGTTAATTTCTTTAAAGATATCTGTGGGTATCTTCTTTCAAAAAGTTCACTTTCTTAATTTTATTGAATTAAAATTAAGCACAACTTTTATCAACTGTATGATGAATAGAAATGATGCTGGCTCGGTGACGACTCGATATGCATTGTTCTAGTTCGAACAGTTTTACAGCCGTCAAAGGTGATTCGACCATTTCAACGATCGTTCGTCAAAATGGTTGGCAGTGTTGCCTAATTTCTTAAGTGTAGAGGATTTCGTAATTTTAATTATTARCGATATCAAAAAGTGATGCCACTGCATTCCAATCCTACATATTTTAGTTATGGAACGGTATAAATCTACTGGAGAAAGGGTTATTAYTTGTATCTGTTTTTAGCATTGCAGCATATTATTAACAGAAAAAATTCTCTCTGAGTTTTATTTACMACTTTTTCATACCGTTTATATGTTGCAGTATACAGTCGACTGAATTTGAAAAGACATCAGTTGTGGAAGATGTGGATTTTGATGTTTTCGCCAAAAAGTTCACAACTTCAGTGTCTGAAGTATCCAGTAAAGATATAGTATGATATATAGTTTTTAAACTTGAGAAAATATTCAATAAGCGCCCTAGATTGTCAAAAATATGGTCAATAATATACAAAAAGTAAAAATAAAGTTATTCAATCCATACWTAAGAAATAAATTTGCAAAAAAAGTATTTTTTTACTTGAAATATAGTTTTTCAGCGAAATGTGTGCGGTGCAATCCCCATTGCTCATTTTTGACAACATCTCGTGCCATCCTGGAAGTAACATTAAAAGTCTCCTATGCATTAAGTWATTGACTTATCCCACTTTTGGTAGATTTTAGAAAATTATTATTTGAAATGTGCTTGGTTATCATTCGATTTCATTTATTTTGACGCTGTTACAAGAGGTTTCAAAATTATTTGTCCTGTTCAAATTATGTATCTTGAATGTGCCCAAAAAGTAAGGTGACATTGGAATTTAMMCTGCGCGCGTCGAAGGATTTGGAGAATTATTAYTTTTTTTAGGTTGATAGTACTGTCAGTCACATTTGTGTCAAATTTCATGTCAAAATATTCATTAGTGTTTGATATACGTGTCGTTTTGTGAGCTGCTAAAAGTGAGTTTTTCGTTTTTTTCGATGTCAAAATTTGTTGAGCAAAGAGTTTGCATTGAATTTTGTTTACGGAATCAATTTTCTGCTACGGATACGTTGAGGATGGTGCAAAAAGCCTTTGGTGATGAGGCTATGTCTAAAAAAAATGTTTACAATTGGTATAGTGAGTTCCAAGCCGGCCGTGAACGTGTTGAAGACGAAGAGCGTCCAGGGCGACCATCAACCTCAAACGACGAAGCTCACGTTCAACAAATCAAAGATTTGGTGTTGAAAAACCGTCGATTAACAATTAGAGACCTTGCTGATGAAGATGGCAGATCGAAAGGCTAAGCGAATAACATTTTGAAGGATGTTTTGGACCTCAAGCGCGTCAAATCTCGACTGGTACCGAAAACATTGAATTTTTTGGAAAAAAGGCGTCGCGTTGAAATGTGTGAAACGATGCTTTCCGACTACCAGGGTGTCATGAAACGCATTATAACTGGCGATGAGACTTGTATCTATRCTTGCGACTCCGAAACAATCAATCAATCGAGCGAATATCGTGCCAAAAGAGAGACGAGACCAAAAAAGTCGCGCCAAAATCGCTCAAAAATCATTATGCGTCGTTCGCGTAACGCTATCCGCTTAAAAAGRCCGGAATTGTGGARAGACAATTCTTGGTTTTTACACCACGATAATGCACCATTCCATACTGCCCTCGTAATTCGTGATCATTTCGCCAAAAGCTCAACCCATATCGTTCAGCAACTACCGTATACACCTGATCTGGCGCCGTGCGACTGCTGGCTGTTCACCAAGCTCAAAAGTCCACTCAGGGGACACCGTTTTTATACAATAGAGGAGATTCAAGCCGCAGCGAAGACGGTACTGCAGGCTATCCCGGAAAGTGACACAACAACCAGTGTTTCGAAGATTGGAAAATCCGTTGGCATAAGTATATTGCATCGGGAGGGGATTACTTTGAAGGGKATGAAATTGATTTGGAAGAATAAATAAAGARTTYTCWAAATAAATAMAATGTCACCTTGGATTGGATTCAGAAGTAACTTCGCTCACCTTTTAAAAAGGGTAATTTTTATATATTTTCGATTAATTGTGTTGTGTGGGTGTGACTGTGGTCCATTAAARCCCATCTACGATCTCGATTTGACCAAAAAACACATATACAAAGGTTCATTACGATATCTGAATTTTTACACAAGTTACAGCATGCATACAGAGCAGACGGACGGATGGACAGACAAGTATCCAAATTTCATCTCACTTATAGATAAATAACATAAACCTACCATCTGGTATATCTATTTCGATTAGTTTTATGTGATACAGACTACCCTCAGAAAAACAAAAAACTATTATACTCTGCACCAACATGTTGCAAAAGTATAAGAAAATCAAGTTGTCCAAATTCGTTTGACAATTAAAGCATTATGTAGTAATTAAGAGTAATTCCCGGCTGGTGACACAAGGTCAACGTTTTCCTATGTACACAGATGTCCCCCATGAAACTATTTGTAAACACATGTATGAATGAAAATATTATAGACAAAAGCCATTATCTGTGAATATCGGCAAACTTTCGCAAACGTTGATGACATATCGTCATTTATTTATTTATTGTTGTCACTAGCACAACTGTTAATCGATTGTAAGTCGTCATGAATAAAATCAATAATTTCACCTGTCAAAAGCATTACTTATACGCCACGTGCAACGCGAATACAATAGCCAACAATGGTCACATAAATTTCTCCAGAAGAGGCTTAAAGAAACTTATGCATGAATATTTAAAGAAAGGTAATTGTTGGTGGTTATAGGAAGACAGACCGGGTGTTAAAGAGCTACAAAGTGGCACGCAATAAGCGCAGGTGTTTCTGAAGAACAGTAATACTTGTAAACAAAAACTTAASTGGAAGTTGAAGTTGCTAAGGAATGTTGTAACAGTTTATGAATGTGTGTGTATAAGTACATTTACTTTGTGCATTGTCGCTTGTTATGTTTTTTGCGTGCTGCTTGCTACATTCTTCATGTGGCATTACTTTTTCAGCTATAATTTGCGTGAATAGGTTTTGCGCATATATTTAAAGGTCTTTTTTTTGGAGCACTCGTGGATTACATTTATAGAAGTACAAAATATTACATATTTTTATAAGTATTTATATATGTGCATATGTACTACCTAKCATTTCTCACCTAAACTTTGTCAGCAATCCACTTTTTACGCGCACTTATTTGCTCTCCGTTAAGAAATGTTCGAAATCTTGCACTCAAACTGTTTTATGCACACGCCTTGTGGTTACTTCCTGGAAAATATTTGATTTACGGATAATTATTAGGTAAGCTTAAACTGGTAGGCCAATA